GTCACCATCCAGGAGTCATCATCAGTCCCAGTGGCGCTGTCTCCGAGGGCCGAGGGTGAAACATATGGCTGAAAAAGGGATCACAGTGCTGTCTCGTTTTTTGTTTAGCTTTTACTTAGGGCTTTTGGATGGCACTCGATGTTTGAGCCATGTCCACTCCACTGACGCGACATGGAGGTCTAAAGGATGGGAGATTACAACGATGGATTTGCCTATACGTCATTACTGCAGTATGATGGACATCAAAGTGGACATGAATATGATGTAGACATTCATATATAGATTTCCACTGCAATCCAGCTGAACTGGCTGTCATGAAGCCTCGGTTTAAACGGTCATGAATCGAACATGATTATGCAACCATTGTTTGTGTGTATAGCTCAAATAGCCAGTTGCTCGGGGTCTCCCCATTTAAATACACACTGATTTTGTTGTTGGTCAGTTCAGGGCAGCCTGCAGCTTGAGGTAATGAGACAGATAGCCAGTACAGATGTGTGCAAATGAGCAGGTCAGACAAACCATTATGAAACAAAGCAAACTTGGCAGGTCATGACCTGGGTGGTGTTTTCAAAAGTACTTAAATGTTCCATGTCGGAATAATGACCGAATTTGTTCATCCTGCACCAGCCAGGAATTCTTGTGCCCAGACTCTAAAGGAACTATGGTTTTTGAGGCCTGAGTCAACTCTTTTTGATCCCCAACGTGCATTTTCCGATGCTTTTGAACAAGCCCTGAAGCCCTGAAGTTGTAGCTGTGCCCATGCTTCAGCCGCCGATGAACAACGCCTTGGCAACGTGTACGTGACACTAACGACCCACTTACGGGCACCTCCGAAGATGACGGCACCTGCAGGGGCACCTGCGGCACCTGCTTGTATAGTGTCCCATTTTCCAGGGTACTTTGGAGGGTTCAGGTGAATCAAATCACTCCAATCAAGGCACCATGAAGAGTCGCGCCAGGCTAGTGGACCAGCAGCTTCCACTTGCCAAAGTTGAGTTCGACATGGAGAACACAAGAACACACATTGATATTGTTCTTCAATTCTTGCTACTCATTTTGAATAGAACATTCGTTTTGTAGCTCATTGTGAGATCACAAGGCCATAGTGGAGAACACATAGGAGCAAGAAGCTAACGGGGCTCCTGGCCTAGTAACACTAGCGATCGGACACCATTGGCCCAGGCCGCCGGTCGAGCGGTGGAGCGCAGGCCCTTCTTAGGCGCGAACCGGCGAACCGGCGAACCGGCAAACGGTCCAGGTGCGGTGTAGGCCGTTCGGGCTCCAAGTCATGTAGGCTCTGGATTAAGCCCCCCAAACCAAATGGGGAGATGATAAATGAATCAAGAGTCTACCTGACTTGGCTCCAGTCGCGTTGCGGTATGGGTACGACCCCTTGGACGGGTTTTTGGGATGAACGAACACACAGCGGCTTTTGGACCCAGAAGACTCGGATGTGGAGGATGAACATTTAGATGTTGGCCGAGATCGTTCCACGTTTTTCTTCTGGGGTTCCATCTATAGTGATCGATGTTGATCGATGTTGATCGGGACTTTGCAACTCTAATTATCTTTTGGAAGCAAGCATCTCAGTCTGGTGCATATTTACATATTGTAATATATTTACTATCAACTTGGTCAAAAACTGTAAGCTCTTCCATACTAGTCTTTAAAACGGTTTTCTCATCAATGGCATAGCCCGGTAGACACTTGATAGGCTATCGCTGGCAAGATGCTTTGTGTGCCTTGGATTGTCCTCACACTTAGCAACAGTTATCCAACGGCTCCTGAATCTATGACTTTTTTAAGGCTCGAGGAACACACACAGCATTAGATCATCTAATGATATATAACTAATATTAACACTTGTATAGTATTTCAACTCCGGATCATAACTATTAATTCTGGATAGAATCGGATAGAACTTTTATGAACTTTTCCTGAGGCGTCCAGAGTCCAGACACCATGTCTTCCAAAGTAAGGGTCTGTTGGGAGGCCCAAACGGTGAGATCCAAGAAGTGTACATAGACTAGAAGCCCCAGACAAGCATTTCGAACCGATTGCCAGTAGCCATGTTAAACAAAAATTGAACATCGACGTCTTAAGAAGCTGCTTTGCCTCCAGGAATTTGCCATGAAATATCATGAATGGCTCCGTATGAGTTTTTATATAGTGTTCAACGGTTTTTTAAAATGTAAAGCCAGCTCTTCCAGAACCTCAAGCCACTTCTAGAACTGGAAACGGTGATCGGCCTCCCCAAACAGACCAGGTTCCTTGCTCGGCCTCCCGGTTCACGTCGGCTCACTCCAGGGGCCGATGAGCTGCTGCGGGGCCTGCGGGGCTGACCGCCCAAAAAGGGCGCATGCACCGCATGCACCGAACGGGGCGTTGGGTGTTGGGGAGGTCGGTGCGAAACGAAGGAACCGGAGAGATCGAGAGATCGGGCCAGGGGGTTCCAAAGAGGTTGGTCCCTTGTTCGTGTGGATGGTTTTGAGTTGAATCTCTTTGGCTAACTTTTTGGGGGCAGAATTTTAGGAAGATCGATCATGTTGGGCAGTTTACAAGCTTTTTGGGGGGTTATCCATCCCAGAACTATCAGAGCAGGCTGGCTGAGAGGCAATAGAATCCTCCAGCGGGAACTGAGATGTGCTTGAGGAGGTCTCAAGAAACAGAAGCCAACAGCGCAGGGGTTTCCTCAACAGTTCCACTCCCTGGAATCATGTGATTTTTCGTAAAATGGTGACACTTCCATGACGACTCCAGGTGTAAATTGAGTGTAATCTACCAGCACCTTCATGTCGGGGTCACCAATGGACACACTCTTAAGGGACCTCCAGCCTGGACACCCCGAAAGAAGGTCCAGGTATGTGTAACCTTTATAACCTTCAGACTCCTGCGACTCGTAGGGAATGAGGGAATGAACCACCCGGTCGGCCTGGCCCCTCTGGATCCATTGCCATATTCCCTACGAGTCGCACCAGTCAGTGATGTTCCAGGCATTTCCGGTCCCGGGTGAGACTCACCGGTCCCGCCTTGGCCAGGTGCGCCGCGCATCACGCGGATCGTCCAGGCGTGGTGGTAGGGGGCGTCCGGGCGTGGCGGGGTGAAGAACCGTGCGGACGGAGGGATTGAACATGTTTGAACATGCAGCTGAAGTTCTTTTTGTTGGGGGGATTGTGGACCCGACTGGATTTGAACGTTTTTCATCGCCACATGAGACAAAAGAGTTCTCGAAGACAGAAGCAGTACAGCATAGCATCATATAGACATAGTACATAATAATCTGATAACATAGTACATGATAATATAGACAGAAGAGTCCTCGAAAACACAGTAATTATAGTATCATAATATAGAAATATATATATATATATCATGTCTATACCAGGGCCAGGGTGTGAGATGTACAAGCTCCTCGTCAGGACCAAACACACACACAAACACAAGGAAAACACATGGATCATCTTCCTAGACCTTCTTTCGGGGTGTCCTGGACCTGGAGGTCCCTGAGTAGATACTGTACCCTAAGTGTCCAGGACCATCCTGAAGATGTCCTTCACTTCGACCATTCAGTGGAAGTACGAACTCACCTCCAAGACTATCCCATATAGGGTCCAGGTACCTCCTTTTCGGATGATGTACGTGTTTTATCATTTTTTCCAAAGACTGCAGACGGAGGCCATCGCTCTTAGCTTGGAGGCCATTGCTATTAGGTCCTTCGTCCAGGTGGTCATCACTCCTGTCGGCTCGGGTGACGTCGGGTCACGTGGCAGCTCCGCGGAGCCACCGCAGCTCAGCGGCTGGAGCTCTTCGTTTGAGACGAGACGAGTGCCGCGGGGCCTGGCTTTTTGGGGAGCTGCCACGGGTATTTGGGTGCCTGCCCCGAACTGGGTGGACTGCCTGCGGCACTTGGAGCCCTAGGGTAACCAAAAAACCTCCAAAAAAAGGAGGGGAACATAATAACATGGTGGGAGTTGGACCGCAGACGTCAAAACCGCAGACGTCACTCAGAACTCGGGGGTCCTGCGGTGGACCGTGGACCGCGTCACGTCCGTTTCAGGTGCCAGAGACTGTCGTAGCACCACCGGCCACGGTACCTTGGCACCGTTTTTGGAAGTCGGCCGCGGGGGCTGTGGAGAGCATGTTCCTTAGCTAGACTTTAGTACAGTTCTGAACTGAAGTTGAAAGCCCATGAGGTTTCAGGAACATGTTTGTTTGCTGTTGAGATTCACACTTTTTTGTCCGTGATGTGTCCATTCTGACTGAGAGCATATAGAGAAGACCGTACAACAAATTGTCGAAGATCTCTCTTTCTAGAGGACACATGCACCAAGCCGATCCTTTTCATCAGGTATGTATCAGTGAAACGAGGAAGGACACATCAAGACTCGACATGAAACGAGAACCCAACTTACCCCCACTCTGCAGCTCAGCCGAAATGGTCTTTCCTGTGCTAGCATGATGGGTCAAACAGGTTCATCTTCGTATTTGTGTGGCCAGCTTTTTATATGTGGCTGTGGGTCCAGCCTCGTTGACATGAACAGAATAGCAGGATTTGGAACTCCAGGTTTGGACCCACAGCCATATTTGCCTGGTTCTTGGCATGTTTCACGCTTAGACCACCGCACTTGGGGGTGTTGAAAGCAGATTCTTAGCAAAGGCATTCGGAGGATCCTAGAGAATTCCAAAATCTTGACCTTTGAAAGACCGCTGAAGGACCATAAGGCTGTCACTGTGAAGAAGTTTACCACACATTCTTGTAGTTAATAAATGCGGGTCCCTAATGATGCCAGGTTCCAAGCCCTTTACTTGTTTCATATCTGAAAAGACAGGCTCCGGCTCCCATTGGCCTCTCGGCTGCAAGCGCTTACGCTGCCGAAAGACCCGCTGCTGAGGTGGTGCCATTGGTTCCACCAGCGCGACGTGCAGCAGAGGAGATGGGCGGATGGGCGGGTGGCGGTAGGACGGATGGCCTTTTTCAGATGCAGGTCAGATGGCCAGAGAACCAAGAGGCCAGATGGCTTGCAAATGGCCTGTGCTGACCACAGGGACAACTACTACCCTCGTTTCTTGACGATGCTGCAGTATGAGGGTATTTCTCATCACAGGCACACCGTCTACTGTATGTGTGCAATAGTAGTAATTGTGTACACAGATATGCAGGTAATAAGTAATGTGACGAGCTGGACATAGTTAGACCAGTGGTGCCTCAAATTGAAAACACCTGAAGACCTGAGTGTATTCTCCAAAAAGTCTCGTTCTTTCTGCGTATTACTTTTGGAAGACCAGGTTGGCAGGTGGGCCGGTGCCAAGATTGCCCATCATCGATCTGTTGATCGGCCGTGGGTGTATACGACGTATACTGAATGTGTCCGTTGGTGTGTCATCCAGACCAGTTGTGCCTTGTTTTCGGTGGGGTTTCCATCACGCTCTTCGCGCTGCCAAGTGCAGACTCCGCATCTCTTTGGTTCGGGGCTCCGCATCCACCGGCCCGCGCCACCAGCGTTGCGCCACTAGCGTTTCGGTCCGCTCGCACCCCACGGTGGAGCACCGGCCCGGCCATGCTGACCTTCACCGTGGCGGCCACCGAAGCGGCCCCTTCGGCGTCGCTGTGGAGAGCTGTGAAGCCAGTTAGAGCGGCAGAGGGACACAGCCAGTTCGATGGACACAGCTGCTCGGACGGAGAAAACTGGGCGGCTGGGCCATGGTCCATGGCGGATTGAGACTGGAGACCGCATTGACTGAAGGCGGATGCACTTTGCAGATGTGCTTGATGTTTTTCGACCCTTCGGCAGTTCGGCAGGGTGGATAGGCATTGTAGAATAGGAGATGTTGACATGTGCATCTTCCCGGACCTGTCCAATTATTGCAAACTCTATGATCTCTATGGCGACTGATGACCGAAGCCAGTGGATCTCAACATATCTCAACAACAGCACTATCAAGGACCAAGAGCTCCCGTTCGGTCTACAGATACTTAGTTTTGGGAACTTGCCATACAAGTGGTAACATGTTCAAACAAAATCCCCTGCAGGTTTAGCAAACTCAAACTCCAAGCACTGAATCCAACCTGCCGTTCGGGCCATTTTGGCCCTTGCTTGCTCACAACTACCGTGGTTTTGGCAGGGTTTTTAGGTGTTTGTTGCAACATGGTGAGGAAATCCAGGAGGGTTGCTACCGGTCAATCCACTCCCAACTACCATGTTGTTCACGCCCGCCTCCGTCGCGGCCGGTGGACCACATTGAGGCCCTCCTGTCGCTGCCGCCCTCCTCGCCGGAACGGCCCTCCTCGCCTCGCCCAGAACCGCCCGGCGTCGAGGGCGTCGGGCACCGGTGTCGGCCACGAAAGGCGCGGTGTCCGGTGGCGGTGGCGAGGGGTCCGGTGCTGGTTGAGTCCGGTATGGGCATGTACTGGTGTGGTGCTATTCAGACACAACAAGGAGTAGGTCAACCAGGCCAACACTATCAACTACGACCATATCATAAGACATGATATTAGTGTAATACTTCTCATCGTAATCATCGTAATTATCAGGAATCATCATCATCATCATCATCATCATCATCATCAGCAGCAGCAGCAGCAGCAGCATCATCCCCCTTAGTCCTCATCTTCATCGCTCGATTACACCGCACCGCATCGTTTGACCTCGTGGCATCAGGTGACGAAATCAAGTTTGCCTCCAAAAGCAGCGGCGAGGCCCGTCTCATCCGTGTCGGACCGGCGTGATGAATCCGTCGATCGACATGGAACCTGCAGACGGACCTGCAGATGGTTTTGGTTATATTGGGTTTGCCCTATGACCTGGAACAGTCAGTAAACAGGATCTAAGGTTTATGTTATTATTTGGATTCGGATTGTATAGGTTTTAGTGAGGTCTCTATCATAGCATGCATGCACTGATATTTTGGGATGGACCAGTGGTGAAGTCCTTTGCGCCAAGCCAGGTCAAAATCTCGGTTAAGGATCAAAACCATCCACTGTACTGAACCACCAACCGTAGGGACTATGTCTCCAAGACTCGCATGGTCATTGCAGTCATCACATCGGTGGCGCTAGGCGGCGGCGTTGCCGACCCTGCCCCTGCAGCAGCGTGCCCAGGGCATCGCTGAAGCGTTACCGGCCCTGGCGCGGCTGAGTGGATCCATTGTCGCTGGAGCGGATCGGTTCGGGGGGAGGGGAAGCCTGGCTTGTTTTCATGCTGTAGTCACTGTAGTGGGCAGCTTCAGCTGGAACGGCCAAGTGAAACTGAGACGACACTATTCAGACAGGCTTATGGATAGGGTTATGGGAACTGCCTCCCACTACCGCAGCTCCGACTCCACAAGCCCCCCTCTTCCCACCTGGCCAAGGTGGTCATCAAATACGGCGGTGCCGCCATGGTCGAGAGCCCGGAGCGCACCATCCGCGACGTGGCCACGCTCGCTGCAATGGGCCTTAAGCCAGCGGCTTGGCGAGAAAAAGCCTTTGAGGCTCAGGTTTGTATCTTCTTGGATCTGGGGCTATATCTTGTTAGATGTGGGGCACCTTCTTGGATTTGGGGGCCGCTCCATTCTTCCTGCTTTTCATTGTCTTACAGTTTTGGACAGAGGGTTGTATCTGATTTCAATTAACGAAAACCCTAGTTGCGTGGTTCCTATGTTTTGATTCTTGTTTATCTTAGACCGGCCAAGACCCCACTTAGATTGCGTGAGCTTGTCCTCACCTTTGGGAAGTAGCCGATAGGTTTTTGTTGTTGTGGTATATTCAGATTGGAATATTCAGGCAGTGCAGGGGACAGCTCAAGAACGGTTGTCGAGGTATCCAAGACAAGAGGTTCAGAGTGTTTTTGTTGTTTTTGTTTTAGACAGGTTTGATGAGTTTGATATGATCTGAATTTGGTTTGATGGTTTCAATATGTTTTGGGATCTCAGAATGAGGTCACTTAGACCCTAAAGAAACCACTTACAAAAACGCCAAAGAGGTCACAAAGTGAAGAACCTGGTTTGAAGGTACTTGGACCCTCCTGGCACCTACATAACAGTGTCTCCAATCACCATACCTGAGGTTCGGTACGACTGGATCCCTATAGCAGGGATATGTTTCAATTCCTGGTTACTTTGATTCAACCTTCTTCATTCGCATCCCAGGTCTTAGTGCACGGCGGCGGCCCCGAGATTAACAGCTGGTTGGCCAAGGCAGCGAAAGCGCAGCGAGCTCTGGTGGAGAACCGCGCTTCAACCTCGCGGTCGATCGATCGATCTCGATGTAATTCCGTTGGGTCTGGAGAAGTTGGACAGGTTTGCTGGCCATAAGATCAATTGGCTTCAAGCATGCTGAAGAAAAGCAAGAGATTCTCTCCACCTGGAATGGATGTGTGATGATTTGTGTCGTTTGTGTGTTATTTTTTAAGAATCATAATGCTGCCACTTCCACCAGTAATAACTGCCTGAACAGATCCGAACATCCAAGAGGTCCGACCTTGTTCGCACCTGCACCAAACGTTCAGCCTGTCCCGATTCGCCAGCATGTCATGTTCGCCACCACGTGAGTGTGTCTCCTGCCACTCAACTATACCCTGGCTGGTAGGGAAAATAGACCAGCTTGCCCACTGGGCGAGGGTGTCTCCCCATTAAAATACACACCGATGCCACCTTACTCAGCCTCACACCTCCTGGAAGATGTTTCTTGCTCCCCTTCGCAACCAGGTAGGCATCGAGCCCAAGTTCGTGCGTGGACTGCGTGTGACAGATGCAGAGACTATGGAGGCATTGAAAGACGTGTGGTGGGTGTGAGAGCAGCGAAGTCGAGTCGATAGGTTTTCGAGGGGACTCAACGTGGGTTCCTTGGCAGGTTGGCTCCAAATAGGAGCAGCATACTAGTAGCCATACATAGCGTATTGTTTTAAAGAGGATTGGGTTTTGAGCTATGGTGTTTGGTCACACTTGTGACAAAAGTGTGGAAACAAACTTGAAGAAGGTACATTTGCATACCTTTTCAATATTTTTGCGGGGCTTTGTTGGGAAAGGGCACTTGCAGTAACAAATGGCATGGACATGACGACATGGGATGAAGTAGGTTATACAGCGCGGTCCACTCCATTACGTTACTTGATAGTCGATCGCCAGACAATCTAGAAATCATATTTGCCTATAAATTGACTTCAGTTCTTGATCCCCAGCTCATCCATGTATGGAACATTGAATATAAATGTTCTGATATTATATCATTTGATATCTAATTAAATAAATCCAGCACCACCCAAAGGGTGGTTATTAGATGGAAAATAGATCGTCAGGGGGGGTCTATAAACCAACCTTGACGGGTGGTGCTGGTGAACGACGACCGCTTTTGAACTGACGACCCATGGACTGACCTGATTCGGTCCTCATGGATTGACCAGATTCGGTCCTCACCTCGCCAGGTGGTGGCAATGGTTCTCATGGGCAAGGCGACCCCGGAACGAGCACCCCTTGGGGACGGTCAATTCGTTTGGACGGTCAAAGCGCGTGGTGCTACCTACCAAGCCACAAACAGGTAGATGTAGAATCTGGATGAAGAAACATCCCTATTTGGGAATCAAAAACCCCTGGAAGAGTCTTCTGAGGGGGGCATTGATGAATTCCGAGTCATACAATTAGAGCTGCAGCGAGCAGCATGGGATGATAGGGGCGCCGTCCCATCCGATGCGTCCCGAAGGATGTTCGACCGCGACACGAGCTTCCGAAAACCAGGGGGGGGGCGATGGAGTAGAGTCTTGGAGTCCAATTGCTGGAAATAGTATAATCTGCCCCCCCTCAGGAAAAGGTATAATGAATATTATATAGATCAAGCGTCATCAAGCCGTTTTAGATAGTCCCTCTCAATTTGTTCGAAGATTCGAAGATCAAGGAGCTAAAGCGCCTTGATTTGATGCCTAACTTGGGACCCCCTTGAGACCTTTGGGACCCGGCTGGACGGACCATTTGAACCGTCTAACACGGTGAGACGGTGATGAGATTTGGACGAGTCATGGAACACCAGTCGATGGCACCACCAGCTGTTTGTATTGCGAATTTCATGGTCCTCCTGGCTTTTCGGAGAAAAATGGACCCATCCACGTCACTTAGCCATGATGATTCCAGGGAGTGTAGTATGTTCTTCTTGGTGGATGTTTGTGTGCTGTTGTTGTTGAAAGTGACTGGTACGCATCTTCGCAGGCAAAACCACGCAACAAACATCATCTTTTGGGGGGATTGGATTGGTTTGCAGAAGGAGAACATCATCTTCGCCAATATTCTGTGATGCAATCTGGTTCCGTTGTAAAGACAAGGGAGTGGAAACTTCTGAAAGCCATCCTGGGGTGGCCAACTTCCTGGTCTTTTGGAAGGATGTTGCCTGGAAGACCCTGGAAGCAAAAGGCAAGACGAGGCAAGAGGCAGATGTGAATTTGTGGGAGAATTCGCCGCCGTCCCTCTCTCTCTCTCTCTTTCTCTCTCCGTCTTGAGGTGAACAAAGGCATTGTCGCCACCATGGGTGCTGCGGGAGTCAGGGGATCTCAGAAAACGAGCTGTTTGTTCGCCACCTCGCGGAGCGGGCTCCCATAGGGGCTGGGGCATGGTCCAGCCCGAGGGGTCCAGCCCGAGGCTCCCGGAGTCGCACCGATCCGTGCAACGAGGGTCCGACCGGTCCGGTTACCGTCCGGTTCGTCTCAAGCGTTCGACCCGTCCCTCACCGGTCGAGGAGGTCGGTCCGCCACGCGGCCTCTGAAACCACTAGGAGCCACTCACCAAATCGCGTCGTCCAGCACCCCAACTTGATCGGTGGATGCCCGTCCCGTGAAGTGGGTGGGGCTTCATCGAGTCGCAAGGTGGCCGCTGTGGGGCTGAGCGGTGTCGATGGTGGTCTTCTGGAGGCGAGCAGGGCGAGGGCGGCGAGCCGCAGGGTTTCCGTTCAGTACAACCATGCAGGTAGGGCTTCAGGTTTGGGGTATTTTGGGGTCAAGTGTCAGCACAAGGTCTTTTTGTCCGAGCATGTTCTTTTGGGAGGTTGCTGGGATTATTAACCTTCAAACTGCTGGGATTCTCAGCAGTTGCTAAGTCTTGACTCTTGACCATTAACCAAACGGTGCGGTGCTTCAAGCGATGCGTCCACAAATGCTCGGGTCTTGGCCTCAAAAATACGACAAGATACTGGCTTCGGCGACGGAGTGTGGAATAAGTTGTGATCAATCGGATTTCTGGGTGGTGGTTTCAGATATGGTTCCAGACACTCCATGTGTGGAATATTTACTTACATAGACCATAGACCCCTGAAACGACCCCAATGTAGGCAAATATGGCAGTCCTTTGGAGCGTTTGGGGTTCTTTTCAACCACTTGAGATGATTAGTCCCACTGACGACCATGTGTCATTCGCGAGTTGAAACCACCAACCAGATGTTGTTTCTTCCAAGCAGCACTTGTTGTCGCCTTTCCTGCCAAAGGCCAAGAAGGTGGACGATGAAGAGCTGGGCTTCGTTGGAGAGGTCACAGGTGACATGGGTGACACGGGGAGCGCAATGGTCTCCGTGACGCAAATTAGGATGGTTTTGGGGGGCATCGAGGGTGGTGACGGACAACATGACGAGACTCGATTTGTTTTGAATAAATGAGGGTTAATAGACATGAGTTGAATCTTGATCAATTCCCTCATTTTTGGTTCTCTTCTAGTCTCCCTCGCAAACACAGCCACAGGATCGATACCTGTGGCACCAGTAGAGACATCTTTCGGACCGTTGTGCAAGGTTAAAACATTTTTGTGAGAGGTGAGAACTTTATATTAATATAAGCCACTGGCACCATACTACTCAACAGTCTCACATATCTATGAAGGCCATCAAAGTCAAAAGTGGCCGGAGAACTTCTGACATTCTCAGTTTTTGGAGATTCTTCTCTTCTGATCGACTCATTGACTCTGGGTTTCTGGAGGGTTCTGTAGATCGACTCGCAGATCTGCCACGTGGCGACGCCACGGCGACGCCAGGTGTCCGGGGGGACGTGCTCCTCAGTGCCCTTGAGGAAGGGTCAGGGGCGCCCAGCGGCCGGCTGAACGCACGGCTGATTTGAGCCCAGAGGTGCTGACTTCGTTCCAGAAAGCCCTGAACTGCCCTCAAGTGTTCTGGGATTGGTAGGGCAGCACCTGAACTTCGCAGGCCAGCAATTGAGACCCGTCAGGGCCGACCACAACCCTCCAAAGGAGACCTGTTGAGTCGGGTGCGGGTGATTGTAATTTTGCGGGTGATCACGGATGTTCATTCCCTTCAAACCCTCTAATTTCTCGGGTTCGAAGCCCAGTTCTTGGGTTCCGTTCGGCCCAGGGGTCTCGCACATCGTTCGGCCCACTTGTTGACGCACTTGTTGAGGGCTCCCCTCACCGTTCGCAGCCAAGAATGATGTGGATTGATGTTGACTTTCCCGACTCGGACATGACAAAGGTCACCACGCGAATCCTTGTATCCCTTGGGTTTGTGAGAGAAACACACCAACATGTCTTTGACATGTGAGAAAACAAGCTGGTCTATCAAATCTTCAAAGGCGATTTGGTTGCATGTGTTCTCTAATTACGCATCAAATCCGCTTCTTGGCTTTTGTTTCATAGGTTTTTCCTCAATAATTGTCTTGCAATGGAACCTCCACCGAGAAATGGGAATGAACAGACTTCTTGTAAACATTGTAAACACATAATATTTAAGCTTATTAACAGGGACAACTTTATGCCAAAAATCACAGGACCAGTGGCTTCCGGTGTTGGCTTTAAACACGTGTGCATCACTTGTTCGGTGAACATCTCACTCGCTTTAAACACGTGGTGCGCTTCTTGGCACCGGTGGTGCCGACACGTCGTGACGTGCCGCTTCCTCGTCAGGTTGGTGCCGGTGGTGGCGACGGTGGCCGCAGATGCAGAGGGAAACTTCTTGAATGTTGGGAGCTGAGTCAGGGATTAAGTGTAGGGCTCCAACTACCGACCTCCTGAGATGGGTTTCTACATCAAGTTTCACGCACAAATGTCAGAAACACGGTCTGAGTCCTTGCGAGCTTCCCCGTAGGCATAGTACGATGTGGTAGAGTCATAGCACACTGGGAATCAAATAGTTACACAAGAACAAGTTGTGTCAAGGAGAACAACGGTTTAGTGAAATTGGGTGAATTTGATGAGATGCAGGTCAGACTGCATTCTTGCCTCCTCGCAGGTCAAAATGGGTAAGTCTAGAACCGATCAACCAGTGTAGCTACCGTGCATCAATGGGATGGCCCAAGAGGTTTTGATCAGATTTTAGCCTTTCATCAAACCAGCTTGAAGTGCATATCAGCATCGAAGTTGTTTTTACTTCGCTGGTATTCTGTTGATGTGTTTGTTTTTCACCTCTGGAATCTAGAGTTTGAGCCTGTTGGGCCTGTTGGGTTCCGGTTTAGATAGATCCTACCTCATATGACCTTTTCATATACCTTCTCAATCCTTCTCATCCATCTCCCCAGAAAACGCTCCACCGTCTTTCGAACAAAAAGGTCGGTCTTCTCCACCGTTTTGCTGCTGCCTGAGCCCACCTCGCCCCAGGTCAATGCGGACCTTGCGGCCGCCGCCATCGCGCGAGCCCTCGAGGCGGACGAGTTCGTGCCCTCGGCAGCGAGGTGGGTGAGGTGGGCGGAGGAAGGATGGTTGAATTGGGAAATGACAGGAAGCTGGGAAGGAGGTCGAGCAGTTATACCTCTGCTGCCCGGCATATCATTTGCGGCAGTGATGAGCCAAGTATTTTTTTCTTATAACAACATCTGTGCTTTGAGAAGCATAAGCAGAGTGTCTCATCACTCAGCAGTGGCAGACGTCTCAGTGTCCTCAGACGATGTTTCTTCGCGAAAACGACCGCGGTGGACCGGGACCGCCCTCGGCTGGACCAGTCGACGGCGTTTCGGAGATCGATGGGTGAGTACTGACTGCAAAAATGCCTTCGTCACCGACTGCTGAGCTCCAGAAGAATCAGACATGCCCATGACGTTGTTTCTCTTTTCCTTTGATGTGCTGCCTTAGAACCAGCAATTTCATGCAATTTCTACATGATTTGCTCCAATGCCAAGCCACTTTTAAGCCACCCGAGTCTCAGGTGCTTATGACCGATGTGCCCGGCATTTTGCGCGATGTCAAGGAGTCATTGGGACCTGGGCCGGCCACGGGTCACGGGTGTGTGGGTCACGGGACATGGTGATAGTGATACTCATGATGTTGGAGGCACTTGTTACACTCGAACCAAACATGGATTTCATTTATATAACCAGAAACGATTATGTATACTTCTTATACTTTGTATTTCTTCTACAGACCCACCCACCCAGCCATACTTAGCCATGCCCAGCCTTACCCAGCCACCCCACCACACAACACCATCCACCTCCCCATGTTCGCCCGGCTAATTGGCTTGCTTCACCCACTCCACTTGCTTGTGACTCCACTTGGCGCATCCGCCTGCCTGGCTTCCAGGACCCGGACTCCTTGATCTCGGAGGTGGATGAGACCGGCGCAGAGAAGTCCCTGACTCGGACGACCGGGACGAGCGCGATCAAGACGACTCGGACGACGAGTCGTTGATCCAAGACCTTGTAACAGCTATAAACTGAACAAACACCGGGATGTCCAGGACCGTGCCGCATGGGGAAATAGAGTGAAGTGGTATACCCTAGCATTCCAAAGGCGGTTATTTTAACAGTCCTTCCGGGAAAGGCGGTTTCACGCAGAAATGAAACAGTCTTTTGTAGGAGGCTGGATTTAGCCTGGCATGCCCTCTCCTACTGTTCCACCCATGTGGTTCTGCAGCAGCTTTTAGGCAGAATCTTTTTTTCCTGCCACAGCCACACACGAACCATCTCAGCGTCTGTTGCGCCTTGTCCTTGGCAAAGCACAACAGAAATTTCGATAGGTTGGGGTGAGCCAACGACAAACGCACAGCACTTTGGATTCCAAGCGCATGAACAAACAAGGAAGCTGGGATCCAAGGATCCTCTTGCGATCCAAGAGGAAACGCATAGTCAGCAGCCTGCAACAACAGAAATTTGGGTGCTCCAGCTAGAACCTATAGCACACATCAACACTAGACTTTGGCCAGCAAACCAGCCTAAGCTTTGCACACTTCAGGAGCCACAGGTGACGAGTCTTCGGGTGTGATTTTGCCGATATGCCTCACCAAACAGAACAATAGGGATCCAGTTCCTCCTTCTTTGGTTTCTTCAAGTCAACATTGCAGGTTGGGGGTTGCTTGAGAAATCCCATCGTATGGACAAGAAACTTTTGACCCAGCGCATAGCGTCTTCGTCCAAATAGGTATGCACCATACGGAAGTTGGTTCCTCAAGCGAAGCACTCTTGAGTCTCTATGCTTGGGCGACCAAACACTGGATCTACTTGGTGATCATGAGTAGATTTGTGCACATGAAAGGGGCTGTAAAAGTTAATAGCCCAAACAACTCCTCCTGAAAGGTGGCTGTGGCAGGAAAAAACGATTCTGCAGCCTAAATGCTGTGGAACAGGGGGAGAGGGCATGCCAGGCTAAATCCAGCCTCCTACAAAAGACTGTTTCAAATCTGCATGAAACCAGCTTTCCCAGAACAGAAGGACTGTTAAATATAACCGCCTTTGGAATGCTAGGGTGTATGTGAGCTAGCTAGCTGGGCAGACCCATCAACCAACGGCCAAGATACTGTACTTGAGTGCATCTTTGCAAAGATGCGACAGCACCTCAGGCTCATGGCACTTGAGTCTTTTCTGGGTCTCTGGGTTGGTGACCATCTAAAGCTTGACACTGATCTGCACTACCCATGTAAGCAAACATCCTCCAACACATGTTTGGTAGGTCTTGGAATGTCCCCTGGCATTCTAGAAAACTCTGGATGTTATGAGCCGACGCCAAACTAATTTAGAATAGTCACATGGTGTTTCGGCTTCAAGAGCCATCTGCATTTTCCAATCCTCCACAGACACCAGGCTAGACTTTGCCAGAAGGACTGTTTCCCTAGAAGTCCAAAGACTATATTTTGACCGGCTGAAGTAAAGGAACTTCCCTTTCAGGTCCCTTAAAGACCATTCTTTTTATAGTCTTTGACTCCCAGGGGTTTACCAAGACCAAAAGTGGAATGCTAGGGTTTAGGAGTCCACTTCTGAGTCCTGATGTGCTCGATGGAAAGGATCTTGTAGATGGTCAAGAACTGCATGCCAGCATCATGAAGATCTTGTGCCACACTTGGCGACCTCAGGGCGCATCAGAAATCAGACCTGGATATTTCTAGATAATGGGTCAGTTGCTTCCCCAAAAGTTCACTTAGTCAACCAGGACCCTTTGGACCAGGACTAAAACATGGGTGAGCTTCCAAAGATTTGGGGAGGGGTACTGGCCGGCAGGTAGAGCTAGATTGATGCAGCTGTTGGATTCCAATGGGTGCCAGTTTCGGATGCCCTGAACATGAACATGAATCATCAACAGACACAACACCGGACACAACGAATCTTTTGGGATAACTCGCACACCCCGTGGTTCTCTCAGCCATGCCACAAAAACCTGCCGTTGCTCTCGCTGATCTGGAAGAGCTTTGCCAACGCACTCCTGAGGACAAGATGTTTGGGATGCTGGGTGGGCAAGGGGTCAGGTCCCTTCACAATGTTGTTTGCACTAACTCTCAACATTTCTTCACAACAGTGATCAAGTTGAACAGTGATCTTGTCTGCACACAAAGTTTGATTCCAAGGGTCATTGCAGAACTGGTGAGAATAAGAGTTTCATGGTTTGGGTGCCGCTGCAGTGCCACAAATAAGGTGTGGTTGAGCCAACTCAAAATCAACCTTCCATTGAACGCTTTTGCAGTGAAGAGTTCATCACCATTCTTTTTCTTTACCTGAAATGGGCAAAACGGACAGTCTCTAAAACATGTCATTGCATGCAAAGATGGAACATTGAAATTCAGCAGGGCACAACGTCAATGTCCGATAAATAAGCAGGTTACCATGCGTGGGATAAATGGCGGTTGCGAATGCCGTATTTGGCGAGAACGGCAAAAGGCCAAGAAGTCACGGTAAGCCTCATCTAGTTGCTCAGCAAACGTGCCTTGACCAAAGTGGGTCAGATCCTCGCAAAGCAGAAGCCTTAGCGCGCAATTGAATCAGGACCCTGGTTGATTGGATGATCGCTATGCACTGCATTGGTTTGGTATTGGTGCCACGCGCCATGGAAACTTGGCACAAAATTCATGCATCCAAATGACAGTGCCCCAGCATTGCAGGAGAAGAGGAGCCCCAAGTTCAATGCATGCATTGAACAAAACTTTATGATACTGGGATCAAAGCCTTCAAGTCTCAGCAAGGGGCCTCAGCTGGACCAGGTTGGAAGACCAGCAACAAACACCACCCTTGTAAAGATTAGGGAAATCAGTTCGACCTGGTGCATGGATGAAAACTCCAGGGAAGAACAACTAAAAAAGCAACCTCAGCTCAACACACCCGGGCGCATAGCTGATTCTCTTTGAGACGTCGGGCAATGAACTGATCCAAAGTGAAGTCTCTGTTGACCCAGCCACTGGTAGGGCCATTGTTGTAGTAAACCAAAGATTCGTCACCCCGAGTCACAGCCGGGCACCGGAAACACACTTCTTGACTTTGCCAACTCGCTGTAAAACGCCACGTGTCTCTATGCCACTCCCAGTCACCTCTCAACTCGGTGAGAGCAAACCTGTGCTGCGCTTGGCAAATTGGAAGCCCTGCAATGTCCAAATGAACACCTGTTAGTGGCGCTCCACCTGGACCTTGAGATGGGTTCAAGCCTGTGAAGCAAGCATTCAGACTCCAGACTAGCCTTCTCCAAACGACATTAATTGTTCGGTTTTTGATCAGCTTGTGCCGACCAATCGTGAACAGAAGGAAACGCGAATGCCTTGCTGACTTTGGCCGGAATAACGGCATGTTCAGAAAGATGGCAACAATCTTTTCCACCTTGTACTGTGTCCACAACCGGGCTCCATCCCCGTGCAATCCCAAAGGAATATGAGTGCGTGATGCACTTGATTTGCAGGCCCAGGCCTCACCAGTTTGCCGGCTGTGATCCCAATACTCTGTGATATCATGAGTTGACAGCTCAACCTGCACATGGTCAAAGAGGTATGCCAAGATCCGGTGGGGATAAATTATTGGATAGACCTCCACCTTCGACTTGCGAGCTGTCTTCTTGTCATACACAGGCACACGAATATATTCAATCTCCTGCATACGACTAGACAAGGAGGCCCAGGAAAATTAACATGGAACCTGAAAAGGACCTTTGGAAATTCTCCTCCCGACCCAAGTGTTTTTTAGGTGCATGATGTTCCATGTTAATCTTCCAAGGTGTAATGTGAGCATGTGATTTGAACACACTGTTCCAAAAGCTTATAATTTAGCTAGTACTGTGCCCTCAAATAAAGCAAGGTGCCACAGGGATATCGGCACTGCGCCAGAAGTCTCGCACATCGTTCTTTCCAGATTTGGTACCAAGTTTGAGGGTCTGCTCGTGAAGAGATCCTCCACTTTCCTGGGTTAAAGGTCTCGCACTTTTCAGTGTGTCGATCAAGAGCTTGTTGGAAGAAGATGACGCATGTTGAACTAATGAAACACGGTGTCCAAAAATGTTTGGGGCAATCAATCCCATGACATCTCGTACGGTGGAAGCGAAGGTTTGGATGGAATCTTGTTCAGGGGATTCAATCACACTCACCCACTGATGCTGCCCAGGATCCACAGCTTGATCTCGGACACGGCGCATCACACGCTTCACCGAGGACACCTGGGCCAAGGGCAATGCACATTTTTTTCCCAACCCACTCCAAAAATATCATTCTGGCCTCTTTCCAGTCTAGAATGATGATGATGAAGAAGATTGTGTATACATTTGCACAGTCAAAAAACAACGATGGGTGGCGGCGTTTGACTGGTTTTACTTGAAGACATAAACCAATTGGATATTGGGTGCCGCTGGATTTGATCCCAGATACCCCTGCAGCAACATCATCATAGTGCCCCTCCAACGTGACTGGAGCTTGGCAGCTTGATGTAGCACCTGTGCGGGACAGGCTTGGGCTTCGACCAACACCAAATCATATGGGCATGCGAGAAGTGTCGATACCACCTAGGATACCAAAAAACTGGAGATGGCAAAAGCTTAGTTCGTTCAGTACGCTATTTTTCCAAGTCCGTTTTCGGATTGCCATGGTTTGCCCCAAGAAATCCTGCAGCTGCAACTTCCCCCATGATGTAAGCACCATTTGTCCAAACCCATCATGCATTGAACTAAGAAGAACAATCATTAATATCATGATGTCATGTATACATCATAAAGTGCTGGCAAAACAATGGCTGGCAACATTCACTGGACCGCATTTAGGTGCCACTAGTTTGCAGTTGCTTGTGCAGGACACCAAAACCATCTCACTGGCTGGTGGCAGGATTGAAACGACCATTGGTGTCTAAGATGCATGAAGCGCACACATCAAGACCAAGGCCATCGATCTTCTATC